CAACACTCACTACACTTATAATGTTTCACGGCACACACACTCCTCACGGCCCCCTTCCACTCCCTCATTAAAATCGTAATGGGCAGACATTAATTGAACTATTCTATCTGGATAAATGCATTTTGGCTCTTATGACTCCTCCTAGTTCGGGAAATCAATAGAAATCAAGCGTGACGTGACACATACTAGCTTTTATATAGGTTAGATATACAGGTGAAAAACAAAAAGCAGCGCAGAAAAAATCATGCAAAAAATCCCGGATACAAACAAAATTTGGGAAAGGGTAAAAATTTAACTTAGTAAAAGAGGGTACTTGGAAAGTAGGACTCACACAGTAATAGGGATACACAATCTAATAAATTTAGTCTCTATTCAAAATCCTCAATGTGGTTTGGTTTGTTTGGAATTTTGCGCAAAGTTTCACGAGGGCAATCTGCGCTAGCCGTCTCTATTTTAACAGTGATAGATTAGAGGGGAAGCAGCTAGTCAACACCACCCACCGAAAACTCTTGGGCAAGTTTTTACCAATGAATAGTGCGATTGATCGTCACATTATAACGACCCCACTGTTGAAATGGCGAGCATATTTGGGGACAGTGATTCGAACCTGCAACCCTCAGATTGTGAGTCGAGCGCCTCGAGTGTGAGAGAAAATTTACAATTAAGAACAGATATTAGTGCTTATGTTCCACAGTGTATTCCCCTTTTAAAGTACCATTTAACGTCTTCAACCAGTTGCTCCTCATGAAACAGAATTTATAAAAATAAAACTGAGTTAATGCAACCAGAGCAGTGATAAAAATTAATAAAATTAGATGAAAGGAAACTGAAGTTTCCAAAACATAAGTAACAATAAAACCTTACTTAATTAACCACGTTCCAAAACATAAGTAACAATAAAACCTTACTTAATTAACCACTTTCCAAAACATAAGTAACAATAAAACCTTACTTAATTAACCACTTTCCAAAACATAAGTAACAATAAAACCTTACTTAATTAACCACTTTCCACTCTTTTTATATTTTTATCAACTGTTTGTCCTTTTTTAACTGTTGAACTGTTTTGAACCCTCCCTGCTTACTACGAGTTAGGAAAAAATTGTTAAAAAACCGATCATTTGTAACATAAGACCTCTTATTTTTTAATTTCGTTACCTTTCATTTTTGAAGAATTACCCTCTAACTTAAAGCTTCCCAGGGTATTTTCAAATACAGGTGCTACTGTAACAATTATTGTCTACGTAACAATAGGTTCACTATGGTGAATAAAAGACCAAAATCATCATATTTATGACATACTGTCTACTGATTTGTAATTTTTCTGATATGTTCTTGTCCAGTGTTTCTGTTGAGGGGTGGAATTTCCAAAAACAGGTATAACTCAGTGATGAGTGGTGAATTGAATGTTAAATTGGGCTTCATGCTCATTTTACGTATTTTAAGCAGTTTGTCTGTTGAATAATTTAGATGATTAAATCCTACATAAATATATGTTCGCTGTGGTTAGTAAAATACAACATAAATGCCATACTTGAGCTACATATACAGTTCTATAAAATTATATTTTTATTTTCTATTTATTATATGTTTGGGGAACTTATGGTTTATAGACTAACGAATATTTTATTCATAGGCTTAGAGAAGATCAATCAGTATATCCTTTGTTTTACAGCAATAATTTTAATCACTGACTTTTAATTTTAATCATATATATATATTATCAATAAGGATATGTATTAATACTATCAAGCTTCCAAGTTATGTTTTAAACACAGAATATTACGAAAGTACTGAAGAAGTCTCACCAAGTTTATTTTTACATGCACCTAATTTACATGATGTTTTTTCTAGAAGAGGGGAAAATATAACAACAGCATTCAATTTAAAGTACAGGAAAAATATTTCCAAAATGTATACTTTTCTGTGTAAAGTTCAAACGTTTCTTGTAAAAACATCCTAGAAAAATAAGCATGTATTTAGTTACCTTAGAAACAACCCGGAGGTTTTATATATTGTAAAAAAAAATACTTAAAAAACTCGAATCCTGGAAATTTCGATTTCAAAAAGAAGTTACGTTATTCGCATACAAATGTAATATAACTGTTTTTTGTTGTTGTTTCTTGATTCATTTACAAATCCTTTACAGGAATATAATTTCTTAATATTTTATTGATAAAAAAATCTAAATAAAAGATCTTCATACAGCACATTTATATCCTACATTATTTAAAACCTGTTATTTTAGATGGTAGTTTTTCTTGAAATTACAACGATCGCCAGATTGTTCTTATAACGAACAAAAATGCACTTTAAACAACATTGAAACTGATTTAGGCTTAAGTTGTTCGATGTTTGGTTTGTTCAGTTACACCAAATATCAAAACGACAAATTAAGTTCTGAAACCTATTTTTTAAAATAATGGTTTCATAACGAACTTTATAATCACTTCGCAATGAAGAACCATCATAACACAATATGGAAGATAAGAATATTAAACGAACAACACGATGTATAATAAACATTATTTGTGTAAAGTTCGAGAGTTATTTTGACGTTTAATAATTTATGGTACTTTTAGGTCCCACAGACTTGAGTATGAAGAAGACAGCTACAACAAAGTATTCCTTAAATCCAAGTGAAGTCAATGCAGTCAAACAGCTGGTTGCTGGCTACCGCGAATCCGCGGTGTTTCTTCTGCGATCAGCTGATGAACTGGAACAGTTGCTTTTACAACAAAATTAATTTTATACACCAATGTTTACCTCTTTGGTATAAAATTTGAATATAGAACGATCTACCATTAAGACCCTTCTAAGGTAACAGAACTGTAACCAAGTTAATGGTAATAATGCTATGATTTTTTTTATGATTTTTTTTTTTGGTACAGAGTTGTGTACAAATATATTTTGCCGTTTTTATTAGCGATCTTATACTTCACGGTGTTATTGTATTATTTTGCTACTAAAAGGCACCGAAAAGTTATTTTCATGTGCCAAGACTGATTATGACAATGATCTCTAAAAATGTACGGTGTAGTTCGTCTATAACAACCAAGTTTCTTGGATGTTGTCTTTTGAAATGATCTTATATTGCTGTGCTTACCTGTGGAATGTATGAAATATTGTCAATGTTCAGAATTCTTTATGTGTTTACCTGCCGAAGATGCAGATGGTACAAAATGATGAATAGTTGCATTGACATATATTCCAAATGGTGAAAATTTGTATTAAAAATATACTTTAAAAATTCTTTAATCCATAAAGTTTTACAAGTATTGAAGAACTGTGTTGTTTAGTCCTGGTCCAGTGTCGTTTGTAATGATTAGTAAGTTAAATGTAAAATATCAGAAGATATTACTCAAAGTTATTGAGGTTGTCCATTATTATGTTTTTGCATATTGACTATTTGTACAATTTTGTCTTGATTTTCGAGGCATGTTACTACCCCTAGTCATTAGAAGTGTAATGAGGAGAAAAATAAGTCATATCACGAGTAAAATATTTATACTTTCGAGCTAGTCAAAAAAGTCATTAAAAATAAAAAACTTCCCTATGTTCTAAACTGTTTCTTATACTGAGGCTATGCGTAAGGAAAATATACATTCCATATTTACTGAGTTTTGGAAGTAAATGTATGAATATCTTGAACAGTGTCGTAGTGTTAGTGCAATACCAGAAGCATATGATTGTTTATTAATAGTAATTAGCTCCGGCCATCAGCGATGATCAGAAATCTCTCGAAGTGTGGCAGGTAGGTTATTAGTTTGTTTTGGTACTTTGTGTATTCTCATGAGACTTGGATTACTTTCCGGCTTTAGAAAAAGCTCCAAGCAAGGCAGAAGTTACTTGGGTGTCCGACTTTGAACATCTTTTGACTGGTCTTCAAGTTATAAACGTGTTTATATATTTGATACAGTCCTTTTCTTTATTATTATTATTTTTGATTTGATTAATGTGTGATTGAAAAATAACTTCTAGTATATTTAATGTTAATTAAAATGTTTTGTTATTGGAACGAAAGTGAAAGATTTGAAGTGTTGTTGAAATGTAAGATTATTCTAAGTTTAAAAGATTGATCTGAAAAGAAATACTACAGCATTTCAACATATAGTATATATATATAAACACACAGATAGAGAGAGAAAAGAAATTTACGTACTTAATGAAATATTAGATTAAGCACTCAAGCTGTGGTTATTGAATTCCCTGAGTATCCTATTTCACAAAAATTACTTTGTTTAATTTGTGAGTGCGTGTGTGGCTTTAAAGCACACTTAATCCGTTCTGTGTTTCTTACGGTGTAATTCACTCATTTGTGGGCAGCCGTGACAACTGTTCATACAGCTTGTTATGATTAATTCGGTAAAGGAACTGTCATTCAGAAGGCTCTTTATATATATATTATTCCTGTAAACTCCCAGTGGAGCATAGGGCCGCAACAACACCTCGCGACCAGAAGTTGTTGTTGCTGTTACTTGTAGCAGGTTGATTTTTACGGGGTGGAGTTGCTAGCCCCGCGCCCAACCCTCCTCCTTTCTCATCCTGGACTTGGGACCAGGCAAAGGCGGAGGTTGGCATGTTTGGTGTGACGGGATTCGAACCCGCGACCCTCAGATTACGAGTCGAGCGCCCTAACCACCTGGCCATGCCGGGCCATTTATATATATTTACTAAAACAGAATTATTGAAATATGTTTTAAGAATACTGCATATAACTAAACATACGGCGATGGCGATCAATACGATCCATGACATTTTGGATATTTATATGTATTTGTTCATAGTTCTGATATGTTTCGTTTATTAACACCCATAAGAGAAATCCATGTTGTAGAAATACACTAATCCACGCGTACAATAACGAGATATATTTTTCCACTCAAATAACTGACACGCAACGAACATATAAGTCTGATTAAAGAATATTATGGACAAAGAACTAAATTTTACTTAGTATTCAACTCCATACTTCTTCATACTTCTGAATACTTCTTCCCTCCTTAAGTACGATAACGCTATGAGTTAAACTTTATACAATCAAAAAATGGTTCGTTCCAGATAATTTTATTTGAATCGAAGTCTAAATCGTTGTTTATAAAGTGTTCTTTTGTTAGAGCTAAGAAAATATTTAGAACTAATATTTATTTGTAGCATCATACTGGAAATAAGGCACTGCTATGTAAATAAAAACATTGTTTCACTTTATGTCTTAAATAATAAAACTGGACGAATTTGATCTTATAAGCTATTTATTAAATAACGTTATTAAGCCTATCTACTAAGTAAATTTGGGAATCACGTGGCTTGATTGCCTGTGAAACTGTATAAGTATATATAAAATATATGGTTAAAGAAATGAAACAGAAAAAAATATGAAAGAAACGAAATACAAAGAAAAATCTTTAAACTTTACTATCTGAACAGTGCAATAATTATTTATTAAAGTTATTCATCAAACATTGATAGATTTATTTGTGAAACCAGGTAACTAAGAATATGAATAATTTGATCTCATGAATTTTGTGAATATAAGGTATTTTTATTTAGTATAATCATGCGTACCTAACCAAAGGAGCAATACAGGATGTTTAATCTGGTAATTACGCGCACCTACGAAATGTGCTTCTCTATTTTATCAGTTAACTAAGTGTACTGACGAAATATGCGCCTTTATTTAATCTCTCATCCAAGCTTAGGCTTAGTTACGAAAGACACACTTCTATTTAATCTGGTTACTAAGGTAAAAAAATATGTGTCTATATTTGGTCTGGTTACTAAGCTACAGAGTATACATCTATATTTTAATGGTATGAAACATTTACTTTATGATCCAAAAGTTACTTATTTGTTAAGTACAAACGAAACATGTTAATGTTTATCCACATTTACACGCAAGAAAAGCACACTGGAGCAGTGCCGTATAACGTACATTAACTAAAACAGCCAAATGCTTATTATTAAGTTATTCAGGAATTCTATTAACTACAGTTTTTACTTTGTGTATGCCTATAGGAGTACTTTTTCAATTTTGGTATACATATTTTATTTAGTCAAATACTGGCCGCCGTTCATTTAGACTATCCTTGTTGGTTGTTTTGCAAAATTTCATCTCTTGAAAATATTTTATTCACACTAGTTTTTATAACAGTTATGTTTCATCATTATATACCGTTGCATGTGCTGGACTCGCTATTGTTAGGAGGGGAAAAAAAACTATTTTTATTTCAAAACTCTATATCAAAATATATGAAAATAAAAAATATAATTAAGGATAAGTACGTGACAAAGTTTCAAAATGAGTAGTTTGTTCATAATTTTGTCAGGAATAGTTAAAAGCAACGAGATGCAACTTCTTAATCCTTGTTTAAGAAGTTTAGGCTGTTGGAAAATTTGAAGACAGGTGCAGTCAACAGAATATCCAATCAACTCTTTAATCCGATTATTCAGTTTTATGTTTGGTACCATGGTATCGGCAAATAAGTCTGTAGTTATACCTAAAATGCATGGTATGCTAGCAAAATAATTCTACTATAAATAGCGTCTTTTATCTGTTAAACGCAACCACAGTGTTTTCAAATCCTGTCTTAAATTTAAACCATCTTTTTGTCATTTTCTCATAAAAAATGTTTTATTCAGTTTGCCATATTATACAGTTTCGTGCACTTTTGTCAATAAAGAGTTGTTGAAAGTAAAAGTTGATTTTTCTCTTTCAATTCCTGTTTAATCTATTGTACAGTGGATATTCCTTCATTGTTATCTTTTTAAAGCACTTTTTATTTCCTTTAATAACACTGATGTGGCAAATGTTACATAAAACATTTCATACATTTCTACCACCTTTCTTGACTCCTGATGCCATAAACAAAATCTTCTATTCGATGTTTTCCAACTTCATTTTTTATTGTTTTAAACATCACGGAATATTAGACACTTCATAACTTTCTGCCATTATTCTTAATTAATGATACATTAAATAAATATCATTAATTAGAAGTGACGTTATAAGGGTACGGAGTATCAAATATTGCCTTTTACCCCCATAAAAAACAATGTTCTACCAAAACTCTTGACTGTTAGCACATTCAACAGTTTTTGATACTCGGTATCCTCTACGAACATTCTTTATTAATGACACATTCAAATGTTTGATACTCCATATTTTACCATCATTCTTGGCTGTTAATGCATTACACAATATTCTGTACATCATATTATTTAGCCACGATTTTTAGCTATTGATACATTAACCAACATTTTATACTCACTTTTTCTTTTACCATTGTTCTTGGTTGCTAATCTATTAAACATAATTGACACTATTCGTTTCTCTACCACCATTCTTGACTATTAATACATCAAAGAGTAATTCATGCCCTATACGTTTCTCTCTCTCATTGTTCTGGACTAACAATATATTAAACAACCTTTCATATTATATTTTCTTTTACTTTCATCCTTAAATAAGTGAAGACTGTGATGTTATATGTTTTTTCTGCCACCATTCCTGACTTTAGTTATAATCACCCTTCGTCAACTTGTAAAAAGCGTTCACATCATAATAATTATTATAACAAGTGACGTATATTCAATTTACGTAGAGGATATTGGTAAAAAAAAAGACATTTTAATACTAATAATAAACGAACTTATAACACCAAATTTATTACTTTTTCTTTAATTGGGCATTCAATGTTTCTCTTTACATCTTCATTGGGAGAGATCCACTAAACAACAAACCGTAACTGACAGCACAAAGTTTCAGTTTTTGAACAAACTTTGAAGCTTTGCCCTGTCAGTTACGGTTTGTGTTTTAGTGAAGTGCTCCCGGTGAAGCTGTAAAGCAAAACGTTGAGTGTCCATTTAAAGGAAAATAACAAATAAAGCAACGTCTCAAGGATGATATTATTACCCCGGAAACAGGATCGATGTATTTACTAAAAAGTCACTTAAGATAACGGTAACATGAAGAAAAGTGCTTCTGTCATAAAGCTCATTTGTATGATTGGGAAGTCAGGTTTTAGAGGTCTCTGAAGAGCGTGAGGCTCAAAAGATATTTATTGTAAAAAGACGAGGAAGCAGATTCTATTCTGTATATTCATATCTAATGCAAAGATGAACAAAATACTTGTAATTGTAGAGAGAAAGAGGATAATTTAAGCCTAGATAGTTTCCTGTTTATTATTCTTTTGGCTTTGGTCTGAAAAGTAAATCAATGAGGCTTACAAGTAAGTTGTTTAAAAAATACAATTTCTAACTACTTAACAGTGTCTGTAATCGCAACTTGAATATTGTCTGCTCTGGCATTGAAAAGGTTGGACTTTTGACAAGGTTTTAACTTCTTAGTGGTCCGAAGAATTTAACATTGGTTTTGTGAACATTATGGAAAAGGCATCGGAATCTATACCAGTGAATAATGTGATTCATGGAAGCCTGAAGGATTTTATTCATTGTAGCAACAGAAGGGTTGGAACAGGTGAACTGGAAGAGGAGGTCAAGGCAGATCTGTGAATTCGAGAAGATTGACCAGAAGAGACTAAAACCGAACCTTGTATCACTCCAGCGGATAAATTAAATTCTCGCGATAATGTGTTCTTAATAGTAATTGCCGCACATCGGTGGATGAAAAAAGATAAAACAGGTCTGATATAGTTTACAGGAAGATGCAAAGATCTAACTTTACAGAGAACACCACGATGCCAGACAAGAGCCTGCCTGAAGTCGAAGAAAAGAGAAAAGGAGGCATGAAGGTTTATTTTTATTGTAAAGATTAGCAATTCTCTCCTAGAGCTTAAGAAGTTGGTCCTTTGTAGAAAGTCCTGGACAGGAACCAACTTGAATAGTGGGGAGAATGGAGAATTCAACGATAAAAATAAATAAACGGAAAAGTCTTTAGACCAGTATACATTCAAATACTTTGCTAAAGACACAGGTTGAAGAAAAACATAGAAAATTGAATGAGAATGTCATAGTGAGGAGATTGCTTTTGATATAAAAAAGACTCAATAAGGACAAATCCACTTGATAAAGGTGGATTTAAGGATATTATTAAGTAGTAATAACTCAACTATTAATCACGCTGTTAACCTGGTCAGGAGGTACATTATCAAGAGGGGAATATGGAAGTATAATATTAATATATCGTTTATAAGAGAACCAGTCAATTTTCTGAAATCTCAGAATAGTCTTGCGTCTATCTGATGCTACGGTAGACTGACTTGTTGTAAGTTGACTTTTGATGGGAAGATAATCGCTTTCAACTAGGGGAAATACAACAGTCGTGTGAAGTGATACACCATTAAATCAGCAGAAGTCTGGCTGTGGATATTAATGTCCGCCATAATGATATAGCTGTGTAAGATGGGATCCAGGTAGGTGAGAAAACCATGAAGCAGTGAGACATCTTCTCATGCGTATATTGTAACAACTCGGAAAAGGAAATCAATGGTTATAATGAGTTGTTCCAATTTAGAATGAATGGTCTATATCCTACTGCAATCATGTCTCTTCTAATATTCAAAAGGTTCACACAA